TGGAGCTGCCAGCAGGGACCGGGGATGAGCACCGAACCCTCGGGATTTGGGGGCCAGGATCTCCCCATCAGTCCCTCTCAGGGACACAGACAGGGAGCTCAGCAGAAGGTTTAATTTCATATTCCTGTGTTTTGTGCACCCATTCTGGGGGAAGGGCAGAGAGCCTGATGGCTCAGGAGACCTCGGAGCAGCCACTTCCTGCAGAACTCACAACCCCTGCACATTTGAGGCTCGGCTGCTCTGATGACATTGGCACAGAGTGGGTGTGGAGCAGGATCAGGTGCTTTGTGTACACAGGAGAGCCTGCTCCATCAGGGAGTATTGTTTGCCTTCCCTCCCTGCCACATGTGAAGGTTTGATTGGGACCTGGCTCTGCTCTCTGGGGCCCAGCAGCTCTGGCACTGCCTCCTTAGGTAGAGAAAAAACAGAAAATTATTTGTACTGTAGAGCCAGTGCTGCTTCCTAACCACCATGGAAATATCAGACCAGAACTTCCCTTAAATGCAGGAGGAGGGAGACAGAGGGAGAGCAGCAGAAACGGTTTTGGTTTCAGCTCACTGACCTGTTTCACATCATCCTTTTGCAACTTGTTCAAAAAGCAGAACAAGCAAGGACTTCAACTCAGCCAAGCCCTTTCCTCTCATTTCCTCTTCTGACTTCTTTCCTGTGCCCCATCACAGCCCTCAAAGCCCCAGACAAACATCCTGGCACAGCCCCTGCCCTGCTGCAGGCAGCTGCCCCTGGCACCTGCCCTGCACCTGATGCAATCTGCTGAGTCCAGCTGGGGCAGCTCCTGATCCTGCACGGGGACAGCACAGCACTGCTGGGAGGGTCGGGGAGCCCAGGGTGGGATGCAGGAGCTGCTCAGGAGCTGCAGGAGCTGCTCAGGAGTTCCAGGAGCTGCTCAGGAGCTGCTCAGGAGTTCCAGGAGCTGCAGCTCCAGCTCTGCATCCCTGCCCCTGTGGCTCAGCACACAGCCCAGGGCCCTGGCAGGGCTGTGCCATAGCAAAGGCTGCAGCACATCCTGCAAAGGTGTGAAGGGCAGCCCGGCAGTGCCAGGGCTCAATCCCAGCTCAGGTTCTCACAGATAAATAGATGTCCTGCTACCACCCCTAACTCTGCTCGCTGTGCCGCAGGTGAGGCCGTTCATTGCCAGCAGCAGATTGATTTTGATTTGATCCTGGAGCACATCAGGGACCTGAACTCGCTGGTGGGCGAGGGCAGCGCGCAGGTGGAGCAGACGNCGTGGCAACCGGCCGTAAACAAGATGGCGGCGGGGGGTGAGTGTCCCGGGCCAGGGAATCCTTTCAAGGCACCCTCTGCTCCTGCTCTGTGGGACAGCACTGCAAAAGAACACGGAGGGTGAAGCCCTGAGGGATCTGGGCGTCCTGGGCCATCAGTTTTTGGTGGCACCCCAGGCCAGACCCGTTCCTGTGGCTCCCCTCTTGCACGCACAATGAGGAATCAAGGGATTTCTACCCAAAAAGTCCCCCCTGCTGTGGCAGACCAACAGCCCTGCTCACAGGTGCTTGTGCTTTCAGGTACAGCTCACGCTGACGTGGAGCTCATGTCCTCTCTGGCAGAAAAAATCTCCCTGTTGGAACAGAAAGTAGAGAAACAGGCACAAGAAATCCAGCTGAAGGTAAAAGTCAGCCTCTTGCTGAGCCTGCTCTGTCCCCTGCCACAGGAATTCCACCTCCCAGACCTTGTGTGGGCTCAGTTAATCTGTGGCCTGCTGTTAATTACCCAAATGAGCCCTTTACAAAGCAGCAGAGCAGTGTGATCAGGGACTGGGGTGACAGAGGGGACAGTCCCTGCTGGGACTCCTTGCAGCAGTGACTCTCAGCACCCTGGCACTAACAACAGCAGCTCTTTGGCTTCAGAATTTAATTTTTCCCTCCTGTTGTGGTGATGCATCTCCCCTTTTGTTTTCTGAAACAGCAACTGCTTACATGGCAGAGCCATCCTGGAGCAGCCCTCTCTGACTGGAATAAATACCCTTTAAAATCTAAAATAAATATGCTTTAAAATCTAAAATAATTATCCTTTAAAATCTTAGCACAAATACCTTTAAAATCATATTAGCACAAATATCCTCTAAAATCTTAGAATAAATACCTTTTGTTCTTTGTTTGGGGTTTTTTTAAGAAGTGGCTGCAGTGGTTTATTTTCCAGCTCAGCCCTTCCCTGCAGCTCTGAGCAGGAGCACCCAGCACACCCAGAGGGAGGGCGGGAGCTGGGTCACCACTCCTGGAGCTCTGTATTTATCCCAGCCCTCACCTGGGCCTCATGAAGGTGTTTGTGGGGTGATTCAGCCCTTTGGCCTGGGCTGGGTGGGGTGAGAGGAGCTGCCTGTGCCAGCTGTGCCTGGGGCTGCTGAGGGCAGAACTGGCCCAGGACTGACCCAGGACTGACCCAGGCCATTGTTCTGCCCCTCCAGGACAGGAGGATCGCTGAGCTCGAGGAGAAGATAAGGAATCTTCAGGAAGAGGAAGGTAAAAATCGTTCCAGCTGTGGAGAGCTGCAGGGCTCAGCTGGGCACAGCTGGATCCTGGATCCTGCCCTGGGCTCCACCAGCCTCCCTGGTGAGGGCACACACAGAGGGGCCGTGTCATGTCCCGGGGCAGAGCTGCTCTTTGTGGCCATTGCTCTGGTGTCAAACATCATTTCCTGACCCGTTTCTGGCTTCCCATGGGTGTGAAGCCAAGCACAGGCAGCCCAGGATGGGCAGGGGAGCAGCAAAGGGAGCAAACAGCTGGAGAGCAGCTCCTCACAGCTGGGAGAAACCAAAATCCCACTGGGAGATCCCAGAGCATCCCAGGCCAGCCTGGCTCTGAATCGAAGCCAGCTCCAGTGAATCACTGGAGGGTTTTACCTGGGCCCAGCAGCTTTCCAGCCCCAGCTGGAGCCCACACACGTTTCCTGCAGGGCCCCCGTGGGCAGGGCCGTGCTGAGCTCTCCATTTCCTGAGCTCTGAACTCAAATGGGGCTGTGAAACCACAGCCACGTGCTCTGCCAGGCAGCCAGGACCCGGCTGCAGGGACTCTGCTCCTCCTGGGATCCTTGATTCCCACCCTGTGCTGCCAACAGCACCAATCACACCAGCTCCCACTGCTGGGAAGCAGGAAAGTTTGACAGGAAAGTCTCACAGATATCTGTGCTTGGCAGAAAGATTTTTACATGTGGAGTCTGGTGAAGGAATAGAGATGGAAGCAAGTTTTGATAGAGAAGAAAAGAATTGCTGAGCCAGTGTCGCTGGATAACCAAAAGGCAAAGGGTGTGTTAGTTAGAAGGGGTTTTTATGGATAAACCCACTCCAAACAAGATGTTTTTACCAAGCAAAAAGATTCCACAGACAAACAAGGCAGCAAATGTTGCAGGTAGCAAAAAGGTCTCAGAATTTCCCTCTGCAAGAAAACTGAAAAACATCTAGCTTAAACTGTAATATACTGACTTTTAGTGATTGGAGAGCAGTAACATGAAT